CAGAGGAGATGCTATTTCAACATTTTGGGGGAGATCTATCATGACATTCTAGGATGTTTAATGACAAAAGTGATAAAGACAACACAAAAATAAAAAGAAATTAAATTGATTAGACTACAGACAAAAAAATCTACATGCCTCCAAAGAAACTTGATACCCAAGGCTTAAAACAAAAAATCTTGAAGTGTTTTAGTTTTAATTTCAAGCTAATAGATTAATTGCAAATGTCAAATACATTGCTGTATTTCAAAGCTAATTCAAATTGACTGGAAGGAGTAAAAAAAAAAAAAAAAAAAAAAAAAAATTACTAAGAGTTGCTGCTTTCAGAGACATTTTTTTAGTCATCTGTTAGCACAATGTAATAGTCCTTATTAAAAGAATCTTTCAGAAATAAAATATATTTTCTTGAAACATTATTTGAGGAATATTAGCCAATATTTGAAACAAATATTACTTTTTATTTAGAATATTGCAGAAATGCATTTTCTAACACTGTGGTAGTTGTTTTATTTAAGGTGTTGACAGGTTGACTAATTTTTTTAATAATTTTTTTTTTTTTTTTTTTTTAAGTACCCAGTAATCTTAAAAATTTAGGAAGATAGTCTTTGTAATTTAATGTTTTTTTGAATTTTAGATATTTGGCTGTAAATTTACCATAGTTATTGCTCTTATTTTCTGATAATGTCATGTATGAATGTCCGTATTTACAAAAATTGGCACATTTATACACACACAAAAAGTTGGTAGTGGGGGTGTCTTAGAATTGTAGTAAGCTTTTTCATTTATGATTGGAAATATAGTTTTTACTTAATATCACCTAACACCAGTACAAATTGATTAATTTTCTTAGACTGGTTGCACCTCTTATAATTTTACCTAAATTTGGAAGAAGAGATGGATTCCTACTTTTCCCAAGGGCATTAGTCAAAAGTTAATGGAAAAGCTTCAACCAGAGTGTGAATTCTATAAATCTAGATAGAAAACAGTGCCACATAAATATTTCCTACAACTTATTTTGGATAAAAAAATAATCCATTGATTCCTTAGAAATATATTTGTTCATGTATATATATATATATATATATATATACACACACACACACACTTTCATACATTTTATCCTTTAAGTCTTCATTGGACTAAAGTAGGTACCTCCACAAATTCACTAAAAAATGAGCATGCCATGACAAAAAAATATGTCCACGCTTAAAAGACAAAATTCTACCATTAAATTTTTTGTTATTATTTAGAGGAAAAAAACAAAGTACTTTTTGATTGTTAAATTATATATTTTTTATAATCTTTAAAATATTGGTTAAAAAATTTTTGTTTTACTTTTGCCAGCAGAGGGGATTGAAAGAGTATTATGAGAAATTTTAACATCTTTTTTGTGGTGAAAAAAAACAAAAACAAAAAAAACAAAAACAAAAAAAAACAAAAAAAAAACATTGATTTGGAAATTCTTGCAAGTAATTGTCAGATTTTAATGAAACTTTCTGAAGTGAATGAAACTATTTTAGAAAGAGTCCCTAAATAAATAAGAAAAAAAAAAAAAAACGAAACCAAAAAAAGACTCAAAAACAAAGCAAAAAAACTCAACAGCAAAAAAAAAGAAAAGGAAAAGACTCAAAACAAAAAAAAAAACAACAAAAGACTCAAAGAAAAAAAAAGATACTCCACCCCCTTTTGGGGTTTGTTTAAACCCCAAAAGACTCAAAACCAAAAAAAAACAAAAAAAAACAAACCCCAAAAAGACTCAAAAAAAAGAAAAGACTCAGAACCAAAAAAAAAACAAAAAAACAACTCAAAATAAAATTTAAAAAAAAAAAAACTCAAAAAAAAAAAATCTCAGACTCAAAAATCCTCAAAAAAGACTCAAAACACAAAAAAATAACAAAACCAAAAATACTCACCCCCCCCCACAAAAAAGAGTCTCAATAAAAAAAGAACAAAAAGACTCAAAACCAAAAAAAAAAGAACAAAAAGACTCAAAACCAAAAAAAAAAGAACAAAAAGACTCAAAACCAAAAAAAAAAGAACAAAAAGACTCAACCCCCACCCAAAAGAACAAAAAGACTCAAAACCAAAAAAAAGAACAAAAAAACTCAAAACCAAAAAAAAAGAAGAAAAAAAAAAGACTCAAAACCAAAAAAAAAAGAGAAAAAGACTCAAAACCAGAAAAGAACAAAAAGACTCAAAATCAAAAAAACAACAAAAAGACTCAACAAACAAAAAAAAAAAAAAAAAAAGTATTTATTTTAGGCTTTGCAGTAAACAAAGTACTCAGTAATAAAATTGTCATTAGCAGGAAGAACAAAGTTAAGAGGATAAAGAGGAGGAAAATCAAGAGCCAGTGTCAAACAGGGAGTCAAAACCAACTTGCAGGTGACTGTATCAGACAAAATGTAATCAATTGATTCCTTTTTTTTATGGCTTCTCAACCCTTTGTCAAAATTTTTTTAAGATACTATGAATTCTTTAGAAGGAGATTATTTATACTGACATCACTAATTACATAAGCCATAGTTGGTGTGAAGAAGAGGAGGAATCATACCTTTCCATACCTAAACTGCCTACTATGGGGGTTATGAAATTATAGGAGATAACTAGTATTTACATATAATGAGTTTAGAAAAATAGCCAAGTGAATAAAAGCATTTAAAGCTAATCTGGCTTGAAAGAATTCAAGAATTAAATTCCAGATTTAATGCCGTAATATACACCAACACAATTGAGAAACAGATTGGTATCATTAGGAAGAACTGACAGTTTTTTTTTTGTTTTTTTATCAGTCATGTATTGTTAAAAATTATATTTTTCCATCAAGTAAATTTTGGCTGTTGGTAGTTTGGGGGAAGGGATGAAGGTAATAAATGTGGTGCCCTAAAAAAAAAAAAAAAAACATCTGAAAACCCAACCAAGCATTGACACAAAGAAACCCACTCCTCAACAAAGTTTTGACAACCAATTTGTCATTTTTTCATTTTCATCCCAAATATTGTAACAAAATAGTCATTTCCATGATAGAGAACAAGTACTGTTCTCAAAAGAATGCTTATGTTGAGGACTAAACTCAAATTACAAATGGATTCTGTCATGAACCTCAACAATCCACAAGAATTATTAAGAACATTCACATTTTATACCTTCAAGGTAAATATACCCTTTTAACTGGGGTCAACCATACTGAGACCCTTTTATTGTACCTTTTTACTTGTAATTTGCATGGTTTTGTATACGATAGCATTTTTCTTATGATATTTTATGTTATTTGATTATTTCATTGTAAACTTGAACTTTTCCCCATAACTATCGTTAAGCCTTATTTTAGAATAAAATACATTACTGGATGCACAATCCACCAAATTTCTGCATCCCTAAAATTTAGTAAAATGTTCTTTTATTTCAGGAAAATTGTTTTTGGTTTTATATCTCATTGTGTATCTCTTTTTTTTTTTTTTTTTTTACGGTTGCCCTGTCGTTGCACGATCTCCTTTTTTTCCAATCTATTTTAGCTGAAGCCACAAAATATACATTAATAGTATCCCCACTTTTTTTCAAAGTATCATCTCCCTAGCCATAAATATACATTAATAGTATCTGCACATTTTTTTCATAGTATCATCTTCCTAAGCAACAGTTCACTCTTTACCATCCTTTGCCCCTGCCCAGCCATTCATTCTCCCAAACTCTTGTTAATGACTATTTCCTCTTGCTTCTCTTGACTTCACTATATAAAAAGGTGAGTATCAAACTCACAAGCACTCTCTTATGGTACAGAAATTTCAGCTGTCTTTCCAATTTTAAGTACAAGTATTATTATTATTATTATTATTTTTCAGGTTTCCTCATTGCTCAAATGTTCAGCCTCAGGTATTATCTGTTGGAAAACATCACTCTTACCTCAAATCTATTGATCAGTGAGGAAACAGTCCAGCAATTGATATGACATAGTAACAAATCAAAGTCTGTTGACAAAATTTTCCTATTTCATAATACTTAGTTTATTTTGTAGAATGTATTATTCCCCATTACAATGCACCTTCACATATCCATATCACATATCATATTGTCTGTTACTACATGACCCAAGGAGAATCTAGCAGGTACAGAAATTGAACTGATGTCTCCAGTTTGTAGATCATACTTTTGTTAACAAATATTTTTCTTACAGTTGTGAGTTTAGAAATTCCTTTGAGAGAATGTTGAAAAGAACAGGTGCAAAAATGATGGTCTAAATATAACAAAGTTTGTTTTGGCTTTCGAAGGATGAGAAAAACTGCAGGGTAAAGTCACAAACATATTTATTTTTATTTATATCAATCACCTAATATTTATTTGGAGCTACAATTCATTTACATATTTTGAAAGAATTCATATTTTATATAAGTCTGGAATGCATTTTGTATTCATATCAAGTTAAGCATGTATCATAAATTACGTAAATATTAAAAATAGGTTTAGATTTTTATCTGGAGAAAAAATTGTGGTTGCTTTTGTTGTGTGTAAATGGGTGTATGAATAAAAAATACTTTATATAATGGTTGTTCTACATTTAATATTTGATGATCAATGAAATTAAAATACCTCTGAATGTCTTCATTTCATATAATTTGATTCACAGTTCCCTTTATTTACTTACAATTTAAGTGTACAGCAGTCAAGCTTACTGGAATGAAACAAAAAAAATAAACAAAAAAACCTCAACCTTCAAAATTTTTTAAAACTGTTTTGTAGCATGTCAACGGCTTATGGGTCATTTAATACAGATTTGTAATTTTCTTGGAAGCATTATTAATTTCTCTTCATATTGCTGATAATATTGTTTATTTACAAAAATGTAATGTTTTTATTTTTATACTTTCATAGTGTTTTGATCCCAGTTTAGGGGGTTAACTATTTGCCTGTAGCGGAGACCTAACAGATGCTACCTGTCAGGGTCAGGGTGAACCTGGGAACAACAGAAATTAAGGAGGTGGTTCCATGCTCCTCAAAACTTCTCAAGCAGGGACAGAGAAACAAGAGACTGATAGAGAGTGAGAGCAAGGGACAGAGACGCTGAGGGAGGGAGGGAGGGAGGGAGAGCGAGGACAGAGACGAGGGGGGGGGAGGGAGGGACAGAGAGCGGGGAGGGAGGGAGAGCGGGGACAGAGACGCGAGGGGAGGGAGGGAGACAGAGGAGCGAGGGGACAGAGACGCGAGGGAGGGAGAGCGAGGACAGAGATGCGAGGGAGGGAGAGCGAGGGACAGAGACGCGAGGGGAGGGAGAGCGAGGGAGAGCGAGGGGAGGGAGAGAGGAGGACAGAGACGCGAGGGGAGGGAGGGAGGACAGAGACGCGAGGGGAGGGAGGGAGGGAGAGAGGACAGAGGGGGGGAGGGAGGGGAGAGGAGAGGACAGAGACGCGAGGGAGGGAGGGAGGGAGGGGAGAGCGAGGACAGAGACGGGGAGGGAGGGAGGGAGGGGAGGAGAGGGAGGGAGAGAGAGGACAGAGACGGGAGGGAGGGAGGGAGGGACAGAGGACAGAGGAGGGGAGGGGAGGGGAGAGGGAGGGGAGACGGAGGGGGGGAGGGAGGGAGAGGGAGGGAGGGAGGGGAGGGAGGGAGAGCGAGGGACAGAGACGCGGAGGGAGGGAGGGAGGGAGGGAGAGCGGACAGAGACGAGGGAGGGAGGGAGGGAGGGAGGGAGGAGGAGGGAGGGAGGACAGAGAGGACGGGAGGGGGAGGGAGGGAGGGAGGGAGGGAGGCGAGAGGGAGGGAGGGAGGAGGACAGAGACGCGAGGGAGGGAGGAGGAGAGGGAGGGAGGGGAGGGAGGGGAGGGAGGACAGAGGACAGAGACGGAGGGAAGGAGGGAGGAGGGAGAGCGAGAGTTAGGAGAGCGAGAGTTAGAGAGCGGAGTGAATAAGTGTAGAAGTACGAGCTGTTCAAGAAGAAATTAGTGATCTATATTCAAATTGTGTTTAAGTTTGTTAGATTCACCTTTGCACAAATGTTGTTGAGAAGTGTGTATATGTTTCCATCTTTCTTTCTCCAGTAATGGTTTAAATAGCTGCTCAGACTGGGCTCTTTAGCTTTGGTTAGTATCCAGTCTGGTTTTAAAACCTGAAGAGGTTGTTTGAAGACTTAATGGACCACTGTACACCACTTATCAGTTCTTCCAAAATCTGTGGCTGGTTCTATATTAGCCATCAGCACTCCTATTACTGAATCTTATTTGTCAGTGGTTGACAGGAGATTTGTGTCTTAGGTGATTTAGCTTCTCGCTGTTTTTTTCTACAAATATATTCATGACAACTGACAAGATTTTTTTTCCTGCTGATACCTTGACTGCAAAAATTTAAGCATGATACTAGGTCGGCACCTAGGTCCCATCCTCTTACTGTTGAAATAGTTAAATGTAACCACCACTTCTACTCCAACAGTTTCTTTTCATGCACCTCCCAACAGTGGAACACCCTTCTAGTTACTCGCTTCCCTGAAAACTACAATCATCAAAAATTTAAATTCAACGTCAGTCGCCAGCATCTTCTGCTGTCTTGAACCCCATTCGTCTTTTATCCCCCCCCCAAATACCCAGTCTTTCCTCTCACTTTCACTCCCTGTAATCCCCCGTGTATTAGTGGCATTCTCGATTGGGGTGAAATGATTTCTTAAATCTACTCTTTTCACAAAATATCTCGGTATTCAACATGAGTTATATTGGTGAAGCTCTATTAATATGTATGCTCAAAGATACATTATACTTTATTTTGTAAATGATCTATATGGCATTGAATATACTTCTAAAACAAAAATAAAAAAAATATCTTACTTTTCCTAAATACCATATATTAATACGATACTAAAATATGAACTCAAACTAAATGTATATTGAAAATCTAACAACTTTCTACACTTGGAATTTGTAGCCCTTAAAATTTACATTAAGAGAAATTCATTGATATATATATATATATATATATATATATACACACATACATACATATATATGTGTGTATGTATGTATGTATTTATTACATACACACACAAAATATTTTTTTTTCTTCATTGGTAGCACAACTCAGTTTTATGCACAATGTGTGTGTGTGAGATATATAAAATGATACAATATGTTAATTCATATGGAATCTTCAGGAGGATATAGAGCCAGGGAGAGCTCTATGTCAAAAAACAGAACAAAATTATTACCTATTAAAGAATATGAAACACTTAAAATCCCACAGGTAATAATTTTTATTTCATGAGAGCTCTAAAGAAAAAAAAAAAAAGCAGCTCTCGATCTTCTAGACCTACAGACAAATCACAAAAATCACAAGGTTTGTAGGTGTTTTAAAGCTTTCATGAAATAAAAATTATTACCTGTGGGATTTCAAGTGTTTTATATTCTTTAATTAATAATATATGGAGTAATGGACAGTGGCTTGGATTGAGGAATCTGAGAGCCGAGTTCAAATTTCACTCAAATCCATTACATTCACTTACATGCTGGATTCATACCCTTCAGAAAGGGTATGAATCCTCTTCTCCCACCAGCTATGGGTAAATAGCAGGACAGACCAGGTTCTATCGCCTTGGGTGGAAGAAATGGCAACCTTCTGCAGGAAAAAATCTGCCTCGTCAGTCATGTATTGGAAGATACATGATCGCCTAAGTGTGTATCATGCATGCCACATAACATATGTAAGCAAAATCTTACGGCAATAATAGCAACATCTGCAACTTTTGTCAACAAGATAAGTTAACTATAACAACATTTCCAGACCAAAAAACCTTTTTAATCAGTGATTGAAAATTATGACCCATTGTATATATATACTAAAAAGTTCCTTTTGACTTCAAATGAAGTGGGATGAAAAGAAACTATGTATATTTCATTTAATCCCCACTGATACATTTCCAACACACTTGATTTTCCCTCCTCACCTACTACCACACCTCATGTCGTGTGCTTATTCATTTATTTATTTGAGAAAAAAAAAAAAAAAATTCATAATTTTATATATATATATATATATATATATATATATATATATATATATATATGTGTGTGTGTGTGCATGTTGGACTGTTGTAATAGTGGAACAGTCCATATTATTTATGGGGTTTGTGTTATATTAGTTTTGTGATATGCTATATTTATGGGTTAAAGTGCTCAATATCAGGGTTAGCATGTATGCGAATATAAATGTGGACACTGAGGTCAACACCAGTGGTGACAATCTGTTTCATGCTTAAACGCAGTGGCCTGAAGATTTCTTTTAAGTATGAAACATTATCACCTCTGGGTGCCGACTTCAATATCCTCACACTCACACATGCATGGTGCAAGATAAATTTTCTTCTGAATTATGCAAAAATTAAAATAACACAAACACTCATTTTAACAGATATTTTTGTGTAATTTTGGTAAATATATCTTGAAATACTAACTAGTAAATTTATTCAATTGTCACTGGTTTCAACCATGGCCTTCAGATGACATCGAATTCTCTTGCAATGGGGTTACATGGAGTTTTGTCAGTCCACTGCTCAATTGTGTCCCACACACAATATTCAAGTGGCTTGCAGTTTGGGGAGTTAGGTGGCTTGATGTAAGGGGTGATATGGTCGCAGAAATTGTCTGACAACCATAACTGGGTTCTCCTGCTTGTGTGTCATGGTGCAGAGTTTTTTTGCCAGACATAGGGTGTTCCACCAGCCACCCTCTTGACCCAGGTCAGAACTACCTCCTCAAGGCACTTGATGTCGGCCTCTCTGTTGAGTCTGAGGCCCTCATCAACAAATTCAACAGTTCTTTCCTTAGAAGAATCAGAGTGAGTTTTCCAACCTACCGTATCTTCTTAATCACAATTAAACTCATCTAAACTCTTTCTGAATCCTCTGCACTGTCCTCAGATTGTATTGGAGCTTTTAGCAAATGTCAAGCAGTACAGCATTCTGTTCACAAATATCTGGAGGAATGAATTGCATCATAGTGCTCTTTTTCTCACAGACAGTACCCAACTGACCCTACTATACTGTGCAGTTGACAGAATCAATAACATGTATGTGCAAAATTAAAAGTATAAAAATGGTAGCAATTTAGCCATTGCACCCTGTATATATATATATATATATATATATATATATATATAAAACAATAAACATTATATATATATTTTTTAAGACCACATGTGAGTTGACATTCCCGTTATTCGATAGCTTAATTGCTCGGGCTAACTAACTTTCTCGTATTCGATAGCTTAATTGCTCGGGCTAACTTTCTCATAAAAGCGATTTCCCTGATTGTAAAAGAGAATACAGCCTTGATTTCTGTTGGGAAGCATATTTTCTTCAGCAGGACTTCTCAATCTCTAGAACAGGAATGTCAACTCAAATGTGCCAACTACATAAAACATTTATAGTAATAAGAAATAACATTGATTTAAAAAAATCCATTGTTGAAAAATACATTGGAAGGTATTAAAAGCAGCACTCTTAATTAAAAGCACTAGACACACACAGAATAATCCTTATTTTGATGTTGCTCAAGTGTCATGGTTATCTGTCTATATCTCTGGGATGAGGTATTATGATTATTTACATTATTTACAATACATGGCCCAGTGGATAAGACATTGGTTAGATCAGGTGACTAGACCCAAAGAGTTATGCGAGTTCAATACCAGGCTACAGCAGTGGTGAACCAAAAAAAACAAAAAACAAAACAAAACTTTGAAGAGTTGAGTTAAAAGGGAAATAACTGAAACACCTGGAAGAGGCATGGCACGTGGAAGTAGAAAAATCTACCCTGGTGGATGAAATAAAGGGATTGGTTTGAAATTCCAATCACCTGAAGAAGGCTGGAGCATTTGTGAATATGGCAATGAAGATGAGGATAACAGTCCGAATAATGCAAATATCATGGTTATATTTTGGAACTGAATAAAAAAAAAAAAAAAAAAAAAAACTCCACTAAGAATGAAATTACTGATACTCTCACTCAACATAGTATAGCAAACACCAATATGCTAATAATCTGTCAGCATGAAAATGTAAAAAATAAAAATAAAAAAATAAAAAATAAAAAAAATAGGAGAAAACCTTGAAAATGGCTAAGAATGATAATTATGGACACTTACACTACACCTTTGTTCTTTAAAATGTAAAATTTCAAGCACAGAAGAAAAACTGACCAACAAACAAAAACACCCCTACAAATAAAAACCCCAAAAAACTTGGAATATTCCTTATCTGTAATATTCAATAAAACATATTCAAGAACAATTGCTACTCACATTGTGTTTGCACACACACACACACACACACACATGCAAAAAGGATCTTACACCAAATTTTTTGATTTTAATATTCACCAAACTAGACAATATTAATAAGACAAAAATTGAAACATTCATAAAATACTGATAAACTTAATTACTTCTTTCTACATAGAGTTTTATGCCTAAAACTGTTGCTGCATTAAAAATAATACTTTGCTACATTGTATTCGAAAGTTCGTTTCTTTCTGACTTTAAAATTCTGTTAATTTTTAAGCTACAGGCCATGTTGGATATTTCCTGAATGTCTCCCAGTCAATTAACCAATAGAAATAATGGCACAAGTATCTTGTCAACTTTCATCAACACCGGATGTGTGTTCTATTTCATCACAAATTAGCTGATAATTTTCATAACAGAAAAAAAAAAAAATACTTAATAAGCAAAGAGAAAATAGATAAAAAAATTGATTGTATTTATATAATATGCATAGTTCATTTGAAGAAAGTTAACATTTTTTTTTTTAAGTCAGCAAGAAATTGATTTCTTTAGCCAAAATATTATGGGATGCAAAGATTTATTCCTATGCTCTCTTCAATCTGCAGAATTTAACATTTTGAACTTTTGTTAAATACAGATTTTTCACAAGTTTTGTCTCTTCCACAGAAGTAAAAGAAGGAGAGGGAAAAGAAAAGCTAGAAAAACGTAAGAGCAGATGAAAAAGAAAAGAAAACAATGGTGAGGGTAGAAAAAACAAAGCAAAAAAGAAAAAGTAAAGAAAAAGAAAGAAAAAAAAGAAAGAAAATGGTGAGGGTAAAAGAAAAGAGAGAAAGAAAAGAGTAAAGAAAAAGAGTAAAGAAAAAGAGTAAAGAAAAAGAGTAAAGAAAAAGAGTAAAGAAAAAGAGTAAAGAAAAAGAGTAAAGAAAAAGAGTAAAGAAAAAGAGTAAAGAAAAAGAGTAAAGAAAAAGAGTAAAGAAAAAGAGAAAAAAAAGAAAAAGAAAAAAAGAAAAGAGTAAAGAAAAAGAGTAAAGAAAAGAGAAAAAGAGTAAAAAGAAAAAGAAAAGAAAAGAGTAAAAAAAAAAGAGTAAAGAAAAAGAGTAAAGAAAAAGAGTAAAGAAAAAGAGTAAAGAAAAAGAGAAAAGAAAAAGAGTAAAGAAAAAGAGTAAAGAAAAAGAGTAAAGAAAAAGAGTAAAGAAAAAGAGTAAAGAAAAGTGTATATATATATATATATATATATATATATATATTACACACATTTTTTTTTTCTACCTCCAAATTTTAGTTCCTTCATTCAATTAATTTTACATGCAATCCTGAATTGTATAAAGAAAATTCAAGTATAAATTACTTTTCAGAAAAAACAATCGCCACTGATTTCACGAGGGATTATTAGCTCTGTGATGGTAAGCAAACAAATATTCATAGAACAATTCCTTCCTTTTGTCACCTCCCACAAAGGAGACAGAAGGATGTATTTTTTACTTCCATTGCTAGAAAGAATACCCTTTGCAAGTGATGAACATGTAAAACTAATTATTGCTGGCAGTATTCATACATTCAATCAGGAAGGAGTCTCATCCCTGACTGCCATCTTCTCAGTTTCTATTGTCTAGAAAAGTAAAAGAAAGAATTCAGAAACAATTGAAGTTTGCATAAAAAGGACCTCCCACAAATCTAAAAATAAAGACAATTGTATATATGCAAATCAAGAAGACAACAACTCAGCTTCACCTAACAACTTTAGAATTAAAAGTAAATCAACAGCATTTCCTTTTAAACAGGTGGGTGGGAAAGAATTCAATTTAGCTACAGAGAACCTAAAAGAATTCAATTTGCAAATTCCTTATAATGTTATATTATTAAAAAAATAAATATATGAAAAAACAAAAATGTACTGAATTTTAACACAACATAGCAGGGATTTTATATATATATATATATATATATATATATATATATATATATTACACACACACGAGAGGTGTGTGTAAAATTTCAGATATAACTCAATATTTTTGTAAAAGTACATTATGAATACAGACAAAAGGAAAACTTATCTTAGTTGATGCATTTCATCCTCTGGCGGACTTTATCAAGGCAAATGTAAGGATTTTATTTTGCAACAAGTATTTATAAAGAAAAGTAAAAATGTTAGTTTTTAAAAAATTTTAAATTCAAGAGATGCTCATAAATATTTATCAGGTGAAGTGAAAAATCTATGTAAATTATGGAGGATGCAAAGTGACATAATCTAATGAAAGATTTATGTAAATTATGGAGGATGCAAAGTGACATAATCTAATGAAAGATCTATGTAAATTATGGAGGATGCAAAGTGACATAATCTAATGAAAAATCTATGTAAATTATGGAGGATGCAAAGTGACATAATCTAATGAAAAATCTATGTAAATTATAGAGGATGCAAAGTGACATAATCTAATGAAAAATCTATGTAAATTATGGAGGATGCGAAGTGACATAATCCAATATCTAATAAACAAAAGTGAGTAAATGATTTTTTTTATGCAATTAATATTTAAATTATTTTAGTACATGTTTTATATATAATTTAAAATAAAGGAGGTTATGAATTTTACAGTTTACTTTTAATTTCTTGGCATTTTTATTGTCATGTATGTGGGCTTGAGAAGGGGTTAATTCTTACAGAACGAATATAATTTTAAAACATCTGGGGCACAGATTTATATTTTGATAAAATTCAATAGCAACACTTTCAAAAATTTGCCATCTAAGAAAGTTACTTTCTCTTTTAACAAGTGTGACATTCTTTAGATCAAAGTTGCAGTTGAATTTATTATTTATATAACTAATGCATTTGATAAATTATTATGTATAAAATCCGTTTTTGTGTTCATAGATACATATTTTCTGCAAGTTTACTTTTGCTTGTAAATACTTGTTGCAAAATTATTACACTTACCTTGATAAAATACATCAAAGGATGAATTGCATCAGCTAAGATAAATTTTCCTTCTGTCTATATTCATATAATTTTATTATTGAAGTGGAACTAATGGACAACTTGCCAAAAAACCTAGATACCATCTCAAACGAGAACAGCAAAAAGAAAAAGACCGAGAGGAAAGCACCAATCTACTCAGTAAAGTGCTCAACTTCTAGATTACCTAGACAGAGCTAAAAACACTTTACATTAATTCCAATAAAAGGATGGTCAGAGACTTAACCAGAATTTCATGCAATCTTCAGACAACTTAAATATTTTTAAAAATCTAGTTCACCCCAAACAAGGAAGTAAAGCCACCAAGACAAGGAGTGTGGAAGATTTAGAAAACAGAAAAAGAAGAGTAATCAGGACATTGCATTTAAATTTTTGCAGATTAAATTTGGATGGAAAGCATGAAGGGAGTTCCATTGGCGAGAAGTGCAAGAAAAGAAAAGAAAATTATCATAGAAATTATGGTTACATCTATTCAGCTCAACTTTAAATTGGTGAGACAACATCTCCAGAATAGTACTGTGCTTAAATTCTAATGAGTCTAGGCACCATAGCAAAGACCTCATCCAAACAATTACCATGAAAGTATTTATAGAAAAGGCAAAGGAAGGCAATGTTATGGTAGAGGAAAAATGACTGAAACAAGACACCAGATCAAGGCCAATAATATTGCTGAGTTTTCTTTGGATTTTATCAAGGTGCTCAAGGGAAACAACTGGGACACCAGACCATATATGGCAGCAATATTTGAATGTAGATTTATACATATGTAAGATAGACACTGGAGAGAAAAATTGACTTGAATGACACAGTGAACCAACCTTCCTAGCAGCTTATATAAAATATATTTTTTGTTTATACATAATTTTTATAGGTACAAATATTTAAGTAAATGGTTGTTTATAATAAACAGTATTAACTACATTTACTGGCCTGAATGAACAAGAAATTTACTGAAATATTTGTATCTATAAAAATAACATAACCAGAAAATATATTAAGATAATTGTCAGACTTAGTTTATATATATATATATATATATATATATATATATATATATATATATATATATAATAAATAAAAAAATAAATTAAATAAAAAATAAAAGGCATACCATGATAAAAAAAAAATGGCTGTAAATTAGATAAAAAGTTTTGTCATAATGTTTGTCCTTATTAAAAGGAAAGGTATTTTTTATTATATTTTTTAATCCTTTCTAGTCAGTTTGAAGTTTTGGGCTAAAAATCTTGCTTTTCTTGCATCAGCAGATGTGTCAAAATTAGTACTGGAAATTATAGCATCTTTTTGGAAATTCTTGCAAAAATCAAATGATTGTTGGATCGTAATGAAATTTTCAGGACCTATACACAAATGAATGAAACGAAATTATTATTTCATTTTTTTTTTTAAGAAAATCTTGGTAAAAGTATATTTAAATTTTTTTTTATATCTGTTATCTCTACTTAAATTTCAATGAATTAAAATTCCAGCCTCTTCATATTTGTATTAGTTAAAAGCAGGACTTATTGGAGAATTTAAATCCTCAATTTGTTTTTGTCAAACAGAAACTACATTTACGGAAAATCTGAATCGTAAATATAAAAAAAATGAAAGAAAACTGATATTTATTTAGAAAAGCTTTTAATTGCTTTTATAAATAAGATTTATCAAGGACATTATTGTCATAAGAAAATAAGAATTTTTACATGAATTGTTTATTTTTTTTTTAAATTATAAATTTGAAAAATTTATGAAGTTTTAAATCTTAACCTTTTAGATGATATTATTAAGTGAAAACTATTTACTAATCACAAATAGAAAATCATCAAACCCAATATTTTTAAAAGTATTTTGAATTATTTTTGGATGTGTATAAACGTGCTGATTTTTGTAATTATAGGTGATCATACATGACATCAAAAAATAAGAGTGATAACTATAGTAAATTTAAAGCTGATGTTTCTAAAATTCAATAAAACATGATTACAGAGTACTTAAGAATTATATAAAAAAGCCACTCGCCAATTTTCATCAATTATGTTTTACAGTAGAACATCGTTACATCTGTCTTGACAGCTACTGTCATGTTAAAAACAACTAGAGTGCATATTTTAAACAAACTGAATAATAATCAGCCATTTTTAAAAAAAAAAAAAAAAAAAAGATCTAACTCCTTCAGTCAATTTAAAATAGTTATTGAAATACAGCAAAGTATTTTACTCATTGGAACTATTAAATTTAATCAATTAGCTTAAGACTAAAATAAAATCAAGAACATTTTTTTATTTTTAAAAATTGATTTTATACCTAAGGCATTGCATTTTATGTGAAGGTTTTATATATATATATATATATATATATATATATATCAATAATGTATGTGTGTGTGTGAATACCTAAAGAGTCAGAACCTATCTATCTAGGTTTCCCCGACCATATCATCTGAATAGTTCTGACTGAAGAGGGTTGGCCCAAACAACATTTTAATAAAGCAGCCACTAGAAGAATAAGAAAATTAGCATAAAAAAAAAAAAAAAAAAAATAAATAAATAAAAAAAATAAAAAAAATCAAATCCAAATTCTATTAGCCAAGTAACCTGGTTTGTTTATGCCTACAACCATTGAGTATTTCAGATCTCTGGATGAGTAATTCATTAGGGTTATTGTAATAGGTTATAGCTAATCTTTCCTCCATACATAGGAGGCAATATATATCACCAGCCTTAATTTAAAGCATTTTTTTTTTTTTTAACTATCTCTTATTTTAATATAGGATCTATACCTTGCTGCTTCTTAATTTTCCCCACACAGACAAACTAGTCCTGTACTTATATATTTCATGTGCTAAACTACTTCTATGGTTGTAATATCTTTTTCTGAAAACTCCTTGGGTAAAACCTATGTATACTTTGTAGCATTACTACTATTATTGGGTTTGCTGCTATATACCTCCACCTTATACACTATGCATTCATATTGGCATTTGCCCTTACAGGGACAAGCGGCCTTATTAATGCAGTTGAATTTTGGGGAAAATACATGTGGCTTCTACTCAAGGAGCTTTCAAAAAATGATATTACAACCAGAGAAGTCCCACTGTGCCATGTGTTCTTGTGGATAAAGGTGTTAGATCCAGTGACAGGACCCAAACAGTGTGAGTTAAGTCCAGTTAAGGCAGTGGAGAACTTGGAGAGGGGAATTAACAGGAGATAACTGATAACTGACATCAATTAAACATGGCACGTGGAACTAGAACAGTCTACCCAGTGAGTGAAATAAAGGGTTCTGTTCAACATTCCAACCACCTGAAGAAGGCCGGAGCATACAACAGCCAAAACGTTGTAATAAATATGGCAACAAAGATGAGGACAATAGTCTGAATAATGTAAATAGTGTACATAATACCTCATCTCAGAAATATAGACAGATACTAAATTGATAAATATAATAATTTTTAAAATGTCTTCACTTCTTTCTTTTAGACAGTACTTTGGCACAACTAAAATCTGTTTAAATTTTCAATTGCAAATATTTATAAATTAACATTAATCTCGGACAAATTTCATGTGAAATTTAAGTAACAATGTTTTAAATATATACTAAGTAAGCATTTATTTTAAAATTTGAATATTTAATCATCTGGAAGCAACTATTTTGTCAATCATTAAAACTGAATTGAAGGAATAAGTTTTCAATATGATCTTTTATCAGATCCTATGCACAGACAATACAAAATTACAAAGGAAAAGATTCACCAAATAACAAAACCACATCACTTGAACACTTCCCATAACAGTGACAACAAAAATAGAAAGTACTTTTAACAGGATGAAAAAGTAGACTTATAAATGTGTAAGATTATAGTAAAAAATTGTCTCACATGACACAATGAACCAATTTTCCTAGCAGCAGACCCAGCACTTTTTAAAAAAAAAAAATTTCCAAAGATCAGGGAATTGTCCAATTTAAATGAAAATTTCAGTATATATTTGTTATTTATTTTTATAAGGAATTTTTTTTTTTTTTTTAAATCTTAGATGATTTTATTCTTTTAGTAATAAACATCAATATTTCACTAAAATTTTATATTTCATTAAAATTTTAGTCCAAAAAATTTTTAAGTTGCAAATTTTTATATCTCCATAAAGATTAATCGCTGATGCATTGCCTCTGAAAAAAGCTTTTTCTACAAAGATTCCAATACAACACAAATGGAATTGGCTTAAAAATTTGTTTGAAAAGCAGTATTTTAGGAAAATTTTTCATGTGTTGAAATCTTTAAACATTTTTATTCTTTAAGTGATTCTTTTCTAGAAATGTAAAAAATAAGGAATAAAAATTTTATTTTAATTACTAGTCATGAACTTCTGGTTAATATTTCTATTAGTTAAAAAAAAAAAAAAAAAAAAAAAATGAGAGATACTGTTTTACTGAGATATATTACACTATTATTTGATTTAAAAAAATGTTCAGAAAGAAAATTACAATTTAAAAAATAAGTTCTATTGAAATTAGCACTTCTACACCCACCTCCCCGGTAGGCATGGGGCTCCCACACAGTTGAAAGGATTGGGGTAGTAAGCAATCACTCTGTTGATGATTAGAGGTGACTGACAACATAACTTGGTAGAAAAAAAACAAAAAGTACAAATAGAAAAAAAAATGTTGCTGAAACTAGCCCTTTTGGGGCTCCAACCTTGTCAAGGTTTCTGTTTAGTACAGCATCACACATACACAATGTATATTATTAGTTGATGACTAATAATGCAATGTCAGTTTAAAAAAACAAAAAAGCACAAAATCAAAAAGGCAGATATTCATAAAACGGTGCTGGAGGAAAAAAAAAAAAAAAAAAATAGAGGCCACAAAGGGCCCCAAAAACGTGTGAGCCTTAGCTTAACCCACTTGACATGATGAGCATTAAAATCACCAAATACAAAAATGTTCCCAGATGAAGGGGAAGAGAGAGAGAGAGAGATATTGATTTCTATATTGTCAGATATTTTATCTAATATATTTCAGTCCTGAGAAGGAGGAGAGCAATAAAGGAAGAGATAGCTAACATAGTGCAATAATGAAAGTCAAAATCATATGAAAATTTTTTTTCTGGGGACTCAAGATACAATTCCCTTACAATTGCAAGATTTTTCCCGGATGTAAACCCCAAGGCCCTGGATATTTATCTTACAAGAGCCTGAAAACAGAGAATTCATTTATAGTGATAGAAGAATTTAAATTAATTTTGCAGAGTGCAAAGATATCTGGAGAATGTTTCAAGAGAAAAGATTCTACACTGCAGAAATTGGAATGAATACCATGAATATTGTACAAAGAAACGTTGAGGTGGGCGCGGTAGGTGATGTTTTTGTTCACCGATTTACATGCATTATTTTTCATGGTATCTGTTACAAGATTTTTTTTAAGAAAAAGTTCAAAATAATTATCCTTTGTCTATGGCAATACAAACTGGCCAAATGTGTCTAAGACTAAAACCTAATGTTGCCTCAGAATTGCTAATCAGAAATTCATACAGAGACACCTATCAAATACTGATATTATGTGACTGCTGATCCAATAGCCTCTCTAAGTGCTACCAAATAGTTTGAGATCCTCACTACCAGTTGGATGCAGCAACCAGAAAACTGCAAACCTGGTCCTCTCATAATGAATTCATAGTTATTGATCAGATTATCAAAAAGTTAAGACAGTTAAGACATTAATGCCATGGAAGAAAGTAATTGGTAAACCATATCCTAAACAGGAAACAAGAGACAGACCTCTACTACTGTTTAATAAGCATGGAAGATATACTGGCCAAATGATAGGCAAACCTATCTACTTCTATTTTCAGCACAGGATGCTGGACACTTATCAATGTTGAATAAGTCTAAACTTTTTCCAAATCAAGGAGGGATTACTAAATTTTTAAAAACCTCTCTTTAGGTGAAATCAGAGGAATATTAACAGGAAATTAGATCACTTATCAAGTTAAACTTATAAAAAAGCACATCCATTACGTAAAGTTTCCTTTATGACTTTAAATAATTTAGTTAAGTACCATACAAGAATTATTAAAGGCGTTTTTTCACCCATAACAAATCTCATTTTTAAGATTAACCCCCACAAAAAAGAACAGAACAAAACAAAACCAAAACAACAAAACCAAAAAACCAAAACACCAAACCAACAAAACCAAAAAACCAAACCAAAAAAAAAAAAACCCCAAAAAACCAAAACAAAACACCAAAACAAAAACCAAAAAACCAAACCAAAAAAAAAAAAAAAAAACCCAAAAAAAACAAAACAAAAGAAAAACCCCCAAAAAACAAAACAAAAAAAAAAAACAAAAAAAACCCAAAAAACAAACAACCAAAAACAAAACCAACAGAAAAAAAAATGTATTTACTAATTCGTGCATAAAACTAGCCATCTTCCGATTAAAGCCTAAGGTAAAACATTTATAAATCATTAATAATCGGTAAAAATAATGGTTTCAACCAAAACAAAAACAAATGTGACACTTCAGTTTAAAAGAGGAATAAAATCAGTCAGAAAAAATTAAGGGCAAAGAAACATTGCTTCACACACACACACACACACACATTATATATGTGTGTTTGTGTGTGTGCGTGCATGTGTGTAAAAAAAAACTGACAACTGTTAACCACACCTAGATCTGTCAAATGTAAAAAAAATGACAGCACAAGAAAAATTAAATTAAATCAGTTTACAGAGGAGTGACGGTGATGCCGTCCATCTTATACTGAAAAAAAAAAAAAAAAATTATCTCTCCATGTCATAGGTACAAAATCTAACCTATATACTTTTTATTGATATCACACAGGGCAAAGATCTCATTTTTTCAAGATGGCTCCCAAAAGACTAACAAATAAGTAGAAAAATCACACTGCACAAACAACTAAAACAAATAGGCTCACTATTTCATGTTAATCTGTATCCTCTCCTGGCAGTCTAAGAAGTTTGAAATATCCATATTCATTCTTACTAAAATTACCTCACAATTGTGTCTTGTATTTGTATGGTCATTACACTGCTTCAGAAATAGTGGTGACTTTAAGGGTTTCTTTTACATACCATATCACTTTATTATCCATTCAACTCCATGTTCTACCATCTCTTTACATATGATTGTAAGACAGATTACTTGATTTCTTTCAATGTCTTGTGAGTGTTAAATTCTCCAAGACCATCCAAATATTATGTAGTGATATCAGTTGTCAGCTGATAAATTGTTAAGGAACTCATCTGCAAGATGTGACAGAAATCTTTTTAACAATTATCATCTTGACAAAGTTCAAGCTGAAAAAAAGTAAAAAAGGTTAGATGTTTTTTTTTTTTTTTTTTAGACAACACTGACAGGACAAAGAACGCTTGTTCTTAATAAAACTAAAGTTCCTAGCAGCCTAAGCCACAGAGGACTGCTTGCTCACCACGCAAAAAACAAATTGAAGAAATCTATTTTTTAATGAAGCAAATTGACATAAAAAAGTAATTCAATAAAATAGACTTGCTTTTAATAAAGTAAATCGAAAAAGGCAAAACAAAATGAAGCAGTTTTTTTGTTCTTAATTAGATTGTAATGTAATTTATTTTTTAATAAAATAAAATCGACATTACATTATAATTTACTTTATTAAAAATAATTAAAAAGGTAAAACTGGTTCATATTTTACCTAATGCTTTATTTGAAGAATAAAATTTTAATCCTTATTAAGCTGGTGCTGAGTTATTGGCAGTGTTGAGTTGTCCTTTCTTTCTGGGCAGAGAGACGGAGGAGAGAGAAAAGCGCGCGCGAGAGAGAGAGAGAGAGACGGAGGAGAGAGAGAAGCGCGCGCGCGAGAGAGAGAGAGAGAGAGAGAGACGGAAGAGAAGAGCGCGCGCGAGAGAGAGAGAGAGAGAGACGGAGAAGAGAGAGAAGCGCGCGCGAGAGAGAGACGGAGAAGAGAGAGAGCGCGCGCGCGAGAGAGAGAGAGAGAGAGAGAAGAGCGCGCGAGAGAGAGAGAGAGAGAGAAGAGAGAAGAGAGAGAGAGAGAGAAGCGCGCGCGCGAGAGAGAGAGAGACGGAGGAGAGAAACGCGCGCGCGAGAGAGAGAGAGACGGAGGAGAGAGAGAGGCGCGGAGAGAGAGAGAGAGAGACGGAGAGAGAGAGAGAAGGGCAAGGAGAGAGAGAGAGAGACGGAGAGAGAAGGCGCGCGAGAGAGAGAGAGAGACGGAGGAGAGAGAGAAGGCAGGCAAGCGCGAGAGAGAGAGAGAGAGACGGAGGAGAGAGAGAGGAGAGACGGAGGGAGAGAGGCGCGAGATAGAGAGAGAGAGACGGAGGAGAGAGAAGAAGGGAGAGAGAGAGACGGAGGAGAGAAGAAGCGCGAGAGAGAGAGAGAGAGAGAGAGACGGAGGAGAGAGAAGGCGCGAGAGCGAGAGAGAGAGAGAGACGGAGGAGAGAGAGAGAGAGAGAGAGACGGAGGAGAGAGAGAGAGATGGAGGAGAGAGAGAAAGGAGAGAGAGAGAGAGAGAGAGAGACGGAGGAGAGAGAGAAGGCAAGGAGAGAGAGAGAGAGAGAGAGAAGCGGCGCGCGAGAGAGTGAGAGAGACGGAGGAGAGAAAAAGCGCGAGAGAGAGAGAGAGAGAGAGAGAGATGGAGGAGAGAGAAAAGGCTAAGCGAGAGAGAGAGAGAGAGAGATGGAGGAGAGAAAAGGAGAGAGAGAGAGAGAGAGAGACGGGGAGAGAAAAGCGCGAGAGAGAGAGAGAGACGGGGGAGAGAAAAGCGCGCGAGAGAGAGAGACGGGGGAGAGAAAAGAGAGAGAGAGAGAGAGAGAGAGAGAGAGAGAGAGAGAGACGGGGGAGAGAAAAGAGAGAGAGAGAGAGAGAGAGGGGGAAGAGAAGTAGCAGGTAGACAGAAGAGAGAAGTGATAGAGACTGAAAAAATAAAATTCAACGATGATCCTAGTTTTTTCAGTTTCCTTCCCAAATCTACTATATTATGCTTTAATGCTCACCATTATGAAAACCAAACCCTTCAAAATTTTAATTTCATCTGCTAAATAGAATAATTTACTTTATGATAAAAAGAAAACATAGTAATATTTATACAATTAAAATATTTGATAATCATGAAAATATTGAAGCATGAAAATTCATATTTAATGTAATGTATCAATCTAATATGGCAAAAGTAAGGCTTTCTGGTGTCACTCTAATGGCCAGAACTAAGCTATTCATGGCAAAGTGACATGAATTATCAGAATTTGAACAGGATATGATAGTGAGTGTCAAATGGATGGACATTACTGGAATCATAAACACACTTGACATCCCTCAATTTATGGTATCATGTGTTTAGAAGAAATGCCCATTGAAAAGAATTACCACCCATTATGGGAAACCATGTATCCATAATGATTACAACCAGAAGCATCTTGTTCAAACTGTGTGTGGTAACAAGTGGCACTGGCTCAAATCATATCAACATTCAGCAGGTCAGTTCAGCCTTCTTTATATTCCATGTCATATAGAGTAAGCATAAGTTAACATTAAAGATGACAAAAAAATGACACACACGTTGTAGGGATATCATATTTGATAGAATAGAGTTGATTGTCACAAGTGCCATAAAAAGAAAAAGAAAAGGATATGGTGGTGGTGCCTTCTCATTAGTTTGTGAATTGAAAAATCATCTCAGAAATTGAGAGAAAAGAGAGAGGAGAGAAGACAGAGAGAAGACAGAGAGAAGACACAGAGAAGACACAGAGAAGACAGAGGGACACAGGAAGGGAAGACACAGAGAGGGCGGGAAGAGAGAGGGGGGAAGAGAGAGGGCGGGAAGAGAGAGGGCGGGAAGAGACACGGGAAGAGAGAGGGGCAGAGGGGAAGAGAGAGGCGGGAAGAGAGAGAGAGAGGGGAAGAGAGAGAGAGAGGGGAAGAGAGAGAGAGAGAGAGGGGAAGAGAGAGAGGGGGGAAGAGAGAGAGAGAGAGGGGGAAGAGAGAGAGAGAGAGAGGGGGAAGCATACATACAACGTAAAGAAAGGGATCATCCACTGCTTACAACACCAAGAAAATGTCATAAATGGCGACCCAGAGACATTAGATAAAGAATTGGTCAGTATAAGTAGTACCCTACTACATAACTACCCTGGGTACATGGCAGCAGCCCCCAAAAACTGGGATAGGTGGGTACAAGAGGTGGACAACAACACTCAGAAAACAGTCTGCCTGCCTTATGTGAAGGGGTTATCAGAGAAAATACAAAAGATCTGCGGTCCATATAACATCAGGACAATCTTCAAAAGCTCAACAACACTAACCAGATATCTCTCCCAAGTAAGACCTTCCACCCCATAGAGGAGAACATGACTAAAGACTGTGTGTACGCTATCCCATGCATATGCGGAAAGAAATATAAAGGGGAGACAGGCCGCCCCCTTAAGATAAAGCTTCAAGAACACCAGAAAGCTGTAACACGAGGGGAAGTGGAAAAATCAGGCATAGCTGACAACATATGGAGAGAAAAGGGAGATCACTGCCGTCTCTGGGATCAGGTTGAGAACATAGACAAGGAACATCTTTGGAAAATTCGTAAACTTAAGGACTCAGCAGATATGCTAGGCCACAAAAATCTCCTGAGTCAACCAAGCATAGAAATGAATATGGGAGCCAGTAATAAGGAGTGCCAGAGAAAAGCGATAACAAAAATTGCAATATGAGCTCTGGTAAAAAAATAGTTGCTGAAGACATTAGGTTTATAATACCCACAAATTCATTTACAGGTACATGGCAGAGTGGATAAAGGCATTAGTTAGATCCAGTGACAAGACCCAAAGAGTGTGAGATCAATACCTGGTTAAGGCAGTGGAGAATTAACAGGAGATACCTGATATTCATTAGACATGGCACTTGGAACTAGAACAGTCTACCCTAGTTCAGTTAGACATTTGTACAACAGCCGAAACATTGTGATAAATATGGTGACAAAAGCCCGTATAATGTAAATAGTGAAAAAAAAAGTTAAAGAGAGAGAAAGTTAAAGAGAGAGAAAGTTAAAGAGAGAGAAAGTTAAAGAGAGAGAAAGTTAAAGAGAGAGAAAGAAGAGAGAGAAAGCAAAGAGAGAGAAAGAAAAAAGAGAGAAAGTTAAAGAGAGAGAAAGTTAAAGAGAGAGAAAGTTAAAGAGAGAGAAAGTTAAAGAGAGAGAAAGTTAAAGAGAGAGAAAGTTAAAGAGAGAGAAAGTTAAAGAGAGAGAAAGTTAAAGAGAGTTAAAGAGAGAGAAAGTTAAAGAGAGTTAAAGAGAGAGAGAGTTAAAGAGAGAGAGAGTTAAAGAGAGAGAGAGTTAAAGAGAGAGAGAGTTAAAGAGAGAGAGAGAGTTAAAGAGAGAGAGAGAGTTAAAGAGAGAGAGTGAAAGAGAGAGAAAGTGAAAGAGAGAGAAAGTGAAAGAGAGAGAAAGTGAAAGAGAGAGAAAGTGAAAGAGAGAGAAAGTGAAAGAGAGAGAAAGTGAAAGAGAGAGAAAGTGAAAGAGAGAGAAAGTGAAAGAGAGAGAAAGTGAAAGAGAGAGAAAGTGAAAGAGAGAGAAAGTGAGAAAGAGAGAGAAAGTTAAACAGAGTTAAAAGAGAGAGAGTTAAAAGAGAGAAAGTTAAAAAGAGAGAGAGAGTTAAAGAGTTAAAGAGAGAGAGAAAAAAAGAGAGAGAGAGAGTTAGAGAGAGAGTTAAAGAGAGAGAAAGAGAAGTTAGAGAGAAAGAGAGAAAAGAGAGAAAGAGAAA